TTGTTTCTATCATTGATATATTAAGTGGAGATAGCTGGTTTTCAAGCAATCTTAATCAAGCTCATCTTGATTATTTCTATTGGTTGCTTGCTGGGCTCAACACGGTGGGGCTCGTAGTATTCACGTATTTTTCCAAGTCTTATGTTTATAATATGGGGATAGGGAGTTCATCATCTAATTAGATTTTTTCTTTAATTAGGAAAAGAAAAGCCATAATGTTGTATATGCAAGCAATGGCGGAATCAGGATTTTGTTCAAAGTAAGGCATCTACTAACTTTGTGTTTCATGGTTCCACCTAGGATTGTTAGTAAGTAGTGTAGCTGTAAAGACACTTATGAATTATTTAAGTTAAGCTTGACTTGAGCTCAATTTATTTAGTAAATAAACTCAACTTAATTATTTGATAAATGGTTCAAGTTCGATAAAGAAATAAATTTGAGCTAGAGTTTACGTAACTACTTACAAGTTATTTGCAAGTAGTTCATTTAAAATTAAAAATTATATTATATATTTTATTACAATTTAAATATATAATTAGTCTTAAAAAAGCAATTTAAATATATAATAACTTATAAATTTAATAGAACTAAAATGGTGACTTAAGTAATTTACTTATTTTGAGTTTTTTAGAATCATAGATAAAAATATTTAAGCAAAGTTTAGGGTTTTTTTAATAAAGTGCTTATTAGTTGGATTTTTAAAAAATTAAGAGAAAAAATAATATAAAACAACATTATTTTAATCAAAAGCCATAAAAAAACTTAAACAATTTTATTCCTTCTTTAAAATAAATTAAAATTTATGTTTTTTTAAGAAAGTTTATTAAAATGACATAATTTTATAATATTTCTCCTTTTAATTTTTTAAAAATTTGATTGATAAATACTTTTCTTATTTTTTTTCTTACTACTAGAATTAAAATAATTATCCTTCTTAAGCTTTTCATAATATGAAAAAATGTAAGAAAGTTTATGTTTAAATGATTAATTAATTATTTAAACAATTTAGAATTACAAAAAAAGAAGAAGCTCAAATTCAAACTCAAATACTCACTTGTTTGAGCTTGCTTGAATACTTGTGAATTTGAGAATAACCTCAATTATTTTAAGCTTCAATATATAATTACTCAAGCTTAATTCAAACTCGAATATTTACGATTAGCTTGAGCATAAATATCTAGGAACTCGATTCCAGTATACTTGTTGACCACCCTATTTCCACTCCAAATTGCAAAGTCTACTCTTTTTTGTCCAAAAAATTTGCTCACTACCAATACATATGTGGTGTGTTTGTTGTTAACTTTTTCCATGTCAATACCGCATGCCATTTATAAGAACATAAAAACATAGCTTAAAATCACTAAAAAAATGATTAAAGATCTAAAAAAACATACAAATTCCTAAGCCCAAAGTAGAGCCCATTTCACCCAGGCCCTTCCTTCTATTTTCCTTTTGAGACCCAGGGTGTAGGCCTTGTGCCCAACCCTGGGCCTCTTTGCTTCCGCCACTGTATGCAAGTGCATAACTCCACGAAATGAACTTCTTGTGGATTACCATTTACCTACGTCAATACGGACCACATCCCCCAATCCCCCAATGAATACAGGTAAAACAATTGTAATTTATTCAAAAGAAAATTTGTTGATGTTGATGATTTTTTTTTTTTTGAATGGATTTACATTTGGGGCGAGGGAATTCAAATCTTAATTTTTGATATTGGAGATACATTTTACAATCCAATTTAAAATCATTGGGCGTAACATCTAAGTGTGGCTAATGTTAATGACTTAATTAATGGTTAGTGTTAACAATTTAATTGGTTTAATAATGAATATTTTTTTTATTAAAAATAAAAAATTTTAACTTCAAATCGTTATAATAACAAATTAAAGTGAAAAAAAGTTAATTTCTACAGTATAAAAAAAGAAAATTTTATTTGTAGGTAAATAAATTTATTTATCGAAGAGTAAAATGCAGTTCACAAAACATAGAGTGCAAAAACTAATGAGAGGTTGGATTAAATGATAAGCGACTTGTTTCAGCTTAAATAAAATCTTGAATTCGAGATCTTGTATATGTAGTAACCTTTGTTGAGAAACTCACTCATCATTTTCAAGTGCGCGACGCGAGACAAGTCTGAATTAGTGGAGTGAAACCTCGAATATCCAAAAAAAAAAAACCCAAAACAGAAAAAAAAAAACATAGAGTGCAAAAACAATAATCTCATTCGTTCAAATATCACCGTGAATGTCTCAATCAGATGCTGTTCATGACGTAAGAGAGAAGAAAACCTAATGCAGCTGTCAACCACTCAAAGAAGGAGATATGCCTTCACCACCAAATGAAATATCTGTAACTCATTTCAATTCATGACCCAACGTAAATTTCTTTTCTCATTTTGCTTTGATTACGCTTCACACATGTCCACTCTCTCTCACACCCCTTCTTCTGATTCCTTGAAGACTCAAACTCCCCTTCTAGAAGAAAATCTCACCGACACTGTCGACTACAAAGGCCGTCCGGGCAACAGAAAGAACTCCGGTGGATGGAAGTCGGCCACTTTCTTGATAGGTAAAATCAAAAAGTAAAGCAACCCATAGATCATTTTTTGTTATATATATATATTTATATATATGTACTCCTATGTATGACAATGTTAATTAGTAAAGTATTCACTGCCCTTTAAGCTCACCCGAATTCAATATCAAAATTTTTTTATACAACAATCTATTCTTAGTTCGGACAAAAATTGATGAGGCTGATTTTATGGAGCTGACTGGGTCTCAGATTCCGAAATCGTCTTGGGTAAGAAGAAATTCTGATGCCTAAGGCAGTGGATAAGGTTATTTTTTGGTTAAATCTCTATTTTGGTCCTTGAATTATTGTATGGATCCCGATTTGGTTCCTGAACTAAAAAAATCTCTGATTTGGTCTTTAAACTATTATATGACCCCCAATTTGGTCCCACTGATTGGTTCCACTGTTTATAATTTGGCCTAAGTTGGTCCTTGAATTATTGTACGGACCCTTAATTTGGTCCTTACTATTTACAATTTCATCCCAATTTGGTCCTTGAGTTATTATTTAACATAAGAACCAAGTTGGGATTAAATTGGTAAACAGTAGGATCAAATTGGGCATCTGTACAATATTTTAAAGACTAACTTGGGAGTTCGTACAATAGTTTAGGGACATTTTAAAGACTAACTTGGGAGTTCGTACAATAGTTTAGGGACATTTTAAAGACTAACTTGGGAGTTCGTACAATAGTTTAGGGACCAATTCAAGGTCCGTATAATAGTTCAAGGATCAAATTAGAAATTTTTTTAATTCAGGAATCAAATCAAAAGTTCGTACAATAATTCAAGGACCAAAAATAGAAGTTTAACTTTATTTTTTTGTCTCATTTTCGACTACTTTTCATGTATCACTTTTTTTTGGTTTTTTTTTTTTACGGTAAAAATTAGTTAGGAGTAATGTTAGTATCTGTTAGTATGGAGGTTCGAGCCTTTGAAAGGATGCAGATCACCTGTTGCCCTTGGGCAACGTGACCACTTAAGCCACACGGAGTCTACATGTATCACTTATTTTTATTAAGGAAATACTTTTTTATAATATTTTTGTGATAATTTTTTTATTATTTGATATATTATTAAAATAATTAATTTTTTAATTTAAGTAAAATTTATAATATTAAATATATTCATTTATTTAATAATTTATAAAAACTATATAAAAAAATAAAAAAAAAAATTATCCCTACAAACCAATCTTTTTTATTACTTCCCTTGTCCTTAAACTCATCTTCATGGAATCCCTTTTCTGTACTTACTTTTGAG